GTTAACTCCACCTCCACTAGGAACATTGTAGCATTTTAACATTTTGTATTACTCCATAGATCCATGCAAAATGGTCTATCTAGAAGGATCCATACCCATTTTGACACTTTGTATTACTACCTTTTTCGTTAACTCACATTTTCATTGTAGTACTGAAGTGAATGCCACCACCTATTTTCTTCTACAGTAGGACATTTAATGCTAGACACTCGGTAGTGAATAGCTGTTTTGAGGTAGTGATATAGTTCATGAAGCTCTTATACGACAAGTGTTCAAAGGAATGGAACTCCCATTACTATTAGCGTGAAACCATATGTGCGTCTGGGATGATTAGCAGACATCATGTGAGGAGGGAGCTCATGAGTTTAACGCCAATTTGTGCAAAAAGAAAAGAAAAGAAAAAGAAAAGAAAAGAAAAATACACAACAATCTGCATTCAACTATACGTCTGCTGATTTGTAGGCAACATGTGTGGAGGAAGGTTAGAGCATGTCTGCCAGGAGCATAGTTCCTTAGCCCCCAAAAAATAGCCATTGGGGGAGCTACAAGAGGGTTTTTGGGGGTCTAATGGCCTACATTCCAACGGAATGATAAAATCCGAACCCCAATATTACCTCTAACATGTCGGACCCATTGTCATATGGAATAAATGCCATCTCTTTTATTTTTCCCCTCCCGGCCATTTTCAGCACTGAGACCATCACATTCTCTGCTGTGCCACTGGCACCTCCCATCCTCCTCCTCTGCTCCTGCTGATCCTTGCTCGCAACCGACAAAAAACTGCTGCACCATGCCCGATGTAGAGGAGCAGATGGTGGCATATGCGACCGGTCTATATGGCCCTTGACACTCACGAAGCCTTCAATCAACCTATCGGCTTGACAGATTGTGCTAGCAGCTGTGTCTCTAGATTCAGACTCTTCTCTTGGTTCAAAGCCCCACTAGCAAAAAAGGATGAATAATCCTGACTCCTCCTAACCCTATTTCTTCTAGTGTTTGTTTCTACCGTAGCTTGCACAGAGGAGCTAGCGGCCAATCCTTAACATTCACCATTCTCTGTTTTCAGGCATGCTTTATTTAATAGCTCCAGCGTGAGTTCCACTGCAGACTGCAGTTGTGTATTTAAGAACCAATGACTATCAATAATGACCATGTCGTGCAAACCATAATTAAACTGTATGCGTTATTGTGAATGAATATACAGAAGAACAATAATCCCGTTTGCAAAAGAACACTATATAATATAAACTTACAGAGCAGTTGCTACTACAATTCTTCTTTGAACTGCAAGTTGTTAGTCCACAGGATCACCGGCTCAGGTGAGTGAACCACTCAATAGTCTTGCCGAGCACCCGCTAGTGTTGCCGAGCACCCACTAGCTAAGCCGACCACGAACAAGCGTTGTCCGTTCCCACACACTATGGCTCGAGGTTGAAGAAGAGGGAGAACAGAGCATACACACACAGTACAAGACACCAGCGTTGGCGGAAGCCCTGTATGTGAGATGGCAAATCTGAACTCTCTTTAGTGAGTTGTCGTGTATGTCTATTTATACAACTCCATCCATCTAGTCCTAGTACAGCGCACATGCTGCAACAGTAACTAGATAACACGGCAGGACTGACTTCTGCGCCTGTCTCTGCATGTGGCTACAGTGCGGCAGGTGAGCCGTTTGGCGCCTGCCTCTGACAGCGACTACAGTACCACAACAGGGGGCATTTTCGGCGCCGTCTTCCCTTGCTGTGTGTTCACACAAGGAAGCAGTAATTTATTCTAACACAAGTTACCATCTTGCACTAGACAAAACAAAAGAGTTATGATGCAATGGTTGGCAATGGATAGTCGGTATAGCAGAGGGCACTACATTTCTCTACGTGGTCGCCGGAGAGCTCCATTGCAACCTACCAAGGCAGGCCTTGCACCGAATGGCTAGTTGGTGCTTGTGTGGCTATATACCTACACCCACCCCAGACAGTTAGGGATAATGTGTGTTGAAGTTGTAGTTGAATTGAGGCTCATCTTACAGTGCTTTAGCCACTACATGTGTTCAAGAGAATATTAGGCAATTAATTAGCACAAGCATCATGATTAGTGTTTAGGCTAGTTAGTGGCCACTTTAGCACTTGCTCTAAGTTTAGGCCTAGAGTTTAGTGAGGTTTGTAAAGCTCCTTCCTATCTGTGCTTGTGCGCAACAAGAGTTGTACATGTTGATGCTTACCTTACAAGTCTTGCTAGACCCTGCTACTGCATTTGTGGAGTGGCTGCCGGTGGTATACAATGGATGAGAGGCCCTCGGTGTTTTGACCGAGGCCCTCTTATTGGAGATGACGGGGAGCGATCTAGGAGAGGCTTGATGGAGACCCACTTAGGCATGGGGAAGGCCCATGAGCTATCCACAGAGCTACCCAATACGGAACTTGGCTTTTGCAAAGGCCTCCATGCGAGAGGCTTCAACAAGGACTAGTGAAATATGTTAGCTTTCTGATGCCTCAGTAAAATTATCATCAACCAAGAGTTTATTTTCTCGAACCATTTATATTCCAAACTTATATTCTTGCATTCCTTGCAACACTTAGGAAAACCTAGTGCACTTATAGATAGAATCTGTGTAGGTATTTGTATCTGGTTTTTGGTCTTAATTTTTAGTGACCTATTTGACCTCCCTTGTAGGCGTCACAGTCACTTGTGAATTTTAAGAAATGTCTGATAACGAGCAATAAATTGATCTGCTTGCTTTCAGGTTAATGCTTGATAACTAATCCGGCTTCAGGTTCATTACTCGTCCATGAAAAATTCAGTCATCTGGTTATAAATAGTAATAATGAATTGATGACCGAATCTCCTTTGTAACCGTCTGCATTTGCCAATTAGTAACTCACGAAGGCATTGGAATAATTCATATGCATTTAAATCCTGAAACCCAGTATTCAGTATTCATTCGGATCTTCGCTTTTCAGTGGTTTAGCAATCTGATGGCTGAAGAAACACGACACTCAAAATCAACAACTAGAACAGACGACGACGAGGAACATCGATCAAGGATGGTGCTTCGATACTAAGGCCCAACCACTGATCAAGCAACAGCCGCTAGAGTCTTGCATTTGTGGACTGGACAGTGGGTGAGTAACACAGTCTGCAGGAGTCGCTGCACGTTTTTTTTAATCAAAAGAGGTTTCAAAGCTTTATTTCATAGAGAAATTAGCAAAGCCAGTTACATTCTAGGCTCTGGTAATCGTAAGCGAAGTCTCATGCATCATGTAAGAGTCATCTATCCTCGCACATGTCAACTGACTCATGGTCAACTCGAGCCTATCTTCAGAGCTCTTCACATCTACCAAAGGAAATCGCAGCTGTAGAAAGGGATGCTGCTGGGCTACGAAGAATAGCAGCCACACGGTAATCAGCAAAGCGCAACCAAACTGGGGAAGGGATAGGCAACTGGAGTTCAGTAGGGCGCTGTGCTGCTACCGGATTTGCTGTGGACATGAGGAGAATGGAAGGGAATGCACACATGGGGAGAGGTGTGCCATCCCACGCCTAAATCCACTCCAATCCTTAGTCTGGCAAACAAAGCATTAGATATCTTTATTCCCAATGCCTCTTAAGCCTAGATTTATTCTTGACTATCTAGCTTTTGCTCGAGACACAGGATGACCTAAGAACCTACCACTCTTGCATGTGTGTCTGTTGCAATGTTTTAAATCGCCGGCTATGCCTCTTAGCTGCTGGCCTTCTGAACAGCTAAGCACAGCTATAGCGGGAGATAGCTGCAGCTATGTCATTTAGCTGTTTTTTTAAAAAAAATAGAAAAAAAGACATGACCTTGGCATAACTTCATAACCATTACCAACTGATACATAACCAGTTCAAAGGAGTACATTACAGGTTCATAGGAGTACATTACATCACAGGCTAAGTGGAACAGAATACTGAAACACATTGAACTATGAATCCAACACTAAATGGATTTATGACAATGATAACAGCCGCTACAACACATTGTTCATACAAGACTGCTCTAAATGGATTTGTCAAGAACTAAATTCAGAGAGTCCAGCACTTACTTTGTTGATCTGCCATGGTGAAGCCGAAGATGAAGCCGCTGCCTCTTGGGGCTCCCTCACCCCCGCCGCCGCCGCTTGGATCTGGAAGAACAGATGGCTCTCTGAAAGTCTGAATCACCGTTTTCTACTGGAGTCGATTGATGCAGGCCTGGTGGATGAATGACTTACCATTATGACCACATTGACAAAGCTGAAGTGAAAAGTTCATTTCCATTGCCAAGGGAAGCAGGCCTCTGTTGAAGCACCAAAACACTTCCAGATGGCGGAACTGCACATTGGCTTCATTGCATAGCACTTTGAAAGTATATGCGGCTAACCACACTGGGTTCTAGAATTCTTCCAAAAGCACAAAAACGAAGGGACAACTCAGCTAGAAGACTTTACACCATGCTAATTGCAGCACAGAACATCCAAGATCCCAAGGTGCTAAAACTGCTGCAACTAACAGCTTAGAATTTGGAGACCAAACACTCAGGTGGCCATGGCAGTGGCAACACCACAGACCCACGAGGCGCAAAACAGTGGCACCAAGGTGAAAGCCAAGTACTCTGGACATAAGCTGAACAGTGAACATCATCTAGTGACGGCAACAGTATAAGGAACTGAGCAGTTGATTTGCAATACAATGTTGTCTGCTCGATCAGTTGAATTAAATCTTGATTGCACTCTGCTGGTCCAGGCTTCACAAACTGACTAATCATTTGATTTGGTGGTGGCCTCATTGACATCAAGACTGCAAACTCTATACAGGCAATATCCAAGTGCATATGCAGAGACTACGAATATCGATTCACCGGCTACCCATGAAATTGAGGAACCCCAAAGCACAACAACCACCCAGAGAATTGCCATGTCAATGTAGCACCTGCACTGAGTGGTAGCTCCACATTTCGTCGAACACCCTAGATGCATGAACGGAGTGAGCACCTGGCTTGCTCAAAGTAGCAGCCAGGACCAGCGAGGATGCATCTCGTGGTGGAGTAGAGATTGGTGAAGCCGTAGCCGCATCCCGTGGTGGTGGTGGTGGTGGTGGTAGGAGAGTAGGCGCTGCGTCATGGCAGCGAGCTCAGCGAGGAGGTAGGGGGCGCTGAGGTGCGGAAGGTGGTCCTCGGTCTGGAGGAACTCCATGGTGGTGCGGCCGCCGAGGTCGGCGTGGTTGAGGTCGACGGAGGCAACGACGGTGAGGTCGGGGTCCTGCGGCGAGGGCACACAGAAGCCGCCGTGGTAGGCCCACGCATTGGTGCACGACCTCGAGCCCATCAGGTTGTACGGGTCAGAGAGGATGGCGCCTCCACGCCTGCAGGCGACGCCTTGGTCCAGCACCAATCTGCGCGTGCTCCCCGGAGGATGCCGCCGGGACCGTGAGAGCTCGACACGGATGTTGCCGCGGCGCCCGAGCTCGTCTTGGACGGGAAGAGGTGCTCACAAGGCGATGATCTCTCGTATGGCCTTCTTGTATGTGGATTACCAAGCCACGAGGAGAAGAGATGGCTTCGAGTTTGAGCGAGACGGCAGTCGCATCTGCATACACCGCTACCGCGCCACTTGGGAACCCTTGCCACCGCCGGCCATTGAACCTGTAAGAAGCGGCCGCCGCCGCCGCCTCCTTTTATGCGATAGAGAGACCGAGAGGATGGGACTTGGAGCTAGGGTTGCTCGCTTGTCGCTTGCCGGGTCCTTACGGTGGGGGTGGGGCTGCTGGCTGGGCGGCTGGGTTGGGCGGCGAAAATTGGGCTCTCGACGGTAGAAGCTGGCTGGCTGCCGCTAAAATGTGCCCAGCTATAGCGGCTATCTCCGGATATCTCCGGCTATCAGCGGATTTGGTTTCGTAGCGCTAAAAATTGCATATCTTAGCTTCTACCTTGTCCAGCAGCTATCTCCGGCTATAGCTTCAGCTATAGCCGGCTATTTAAAACTTTGGTCTGTTGTCTCTTTTATTTTCCAAGCACAGTTGCTCTTTATTTTATTGCTCCAATGTGGTAGCCATCTTCAATCCTTTATTCACATTGCAGCTACAGAGTAGCGAGAACCCATGTCATTGTCATGCAGTACCAGTGTAATAAACTGGCATGAGGTGCATCCGTGCATCAACACCTCTATAAATCTCAGCTCGATGTAAGAACAAGGCTCAGCAATTTTTGTAGTCATTGGTAAATCATCAAAGCTATGCAATACCGTCATTTTCTCTGGTCAAAATGGGTAAAAGCTATCAGTTCATTATTTCCCAGAAAAATACACAGTAAATTTATACTAGAAACAAAGCAGAGAACTAAGACGACAACAATGACAGCTGTGAAACTTGATCTCGATTTTTCAATTTGTTACTGCCTCGAGAATGACCACTCTGGTAAATTGATGAAGAACAGCAGTAATCAGTAATCGCAAACCCAGACCACACCTAGAAGAACGGACTCATACAAGCAAAAAATATTAGCTGCTATATATTTAGAAATTTGGTTCTAACTGGGCCAGTTCATGTGAGCTGGTCCAGATTTTAGTTTATCCACAGAATACCATACCTGTGGTAATGTATGTAGCCCATAATATTTTCACAGAAAATTTAGCCCAGCCCAGTTAGGATGAAGCTTTGTATAGTTTCGCGTTCTCTGGGCCCTCTGGCTTCTACCAGCCCATCCGTCACACACAAGCCCATGCTCATCAGCCTGTGAGTACGATTAACCAACTTCTGACAGAAGAGTATCAGTCAACTTATTTATGTTATGTATGTATAATCGGGGACATGTTGTGTCTTCTTTTATTTTTTTACATAATCCGTAATATTGTGGGGATTCGAGTACAAAAAGTTGTGGTTATCCATTTGTAATCGATGGCATGGTAACGGTTTTGATAATTGGCCCTAAAAATATTTTGACCATCTATAAAAAATGTTTGCATGGTAGTGCTAGGTTGGACCTGTGACGGATGATGTCATCTGCCCATTTTCCGTCGGATGACTTCGGTATCAGCGGATAATCTTTTTTTAAGGGTCTCAGTGGATAATCTTGTTGCCAGCTTAGCAAGGACGACTTTGCTTGTGGGCTGGCTCCTATCCGTACGTGTTGCAAACGAAACAAGAAGATTTTCCTTGGCTATAGGATAGGATGATCACGGGCCAATGCTCCGAACTAAACATGCTAGTACTCTGGAACTGAATTCATATTTCAAAAAAATGCAACATGTTGGGTGTTGCAATGTCATAGCGAACCCAGGACCAACCCAATTCAGTTCACTGATACCTCCGCTTGTTCATCTTCTTGGTTTAGCACCAATGGCACACTAGTAATGACCATTAATTTGTAACATTTATATTTTGATGGACTAATGTCACCTATCCGCCATGGGTCCTCAAGCTTTAGATCCAAGCTTTCTAGTTCTGGCTGCAACAGTATCTCTGTATGTCCAAAACAACCAGTAGATTGCTACAGCTAGGTCACCCATTTTCCTCCTCTCTTCTGCAGCGGCGGGTGATGTGCTGGACCCCAACTAGCAAAAACTTGCTCACTCCCAGCTCCATGTGACTTGCCACATTTCCCATCACTCGCAGCTTCCACACGGTTGCGCTACTTCACTTGTGGGCATTTGCTTGATGGATGAATAATCCCGATGCCTCTTGTGCCTATTTCATTTTTACTTCACCTTGCAGCTTGGACCGATGTCCATCCTCATAATTGACTACGCACTTTTTTCAAGAAATAATAAAATAGCAGTTCTGTTTTATAGAAGCAGCAAGGGTATCTCCTCTTGAATTCATATTGATCAGCCAACAATCAAGTGCCCATGTCATGTGGACCTCAGACTATTTATTAGAGTATACAGAAGCACCATTGTTCAAAATTATGGAGCTTTTATTACAGCTTGACTAGGTGAAACCGTACCTTACAAATTGTTAATACCCCCTCACAAAGGGTTTAATAGATTTACAATATCACTATAGATCTTGGTACAACACTACCTCACAAACTGTTATACTCCAATTTTCATGGATGTTTGACTTAAAACACCACTCCAATAAATAATATTTTTATTAGTGGCTGTTTCTTATGCCAACCACTTTCGAAAATTGGTTGAATTCTAAGCCAACCACACCTGAAAATAGCTGCCGACCAAAATAAATACATAACATAGACATACTTTAACTTTTTGTGTAGTTTAATAATTTTTTGTGGAGCGATTTCTTTGTCAAAATTTTAGCAGTGGTTGCCACTAAAAATTAAGTTTAAGAGGTGGTTTTGTAATTGCCCCTGAAAATGCCTGCTTTCTACTACAATCTGTGGTCCAGTAGCCATATGGAAAACCACTACTAAAGTCCATTTACAGTGTAAACAAATTGTTTTGTGACAGTCTATTATGGTTACGATGATCCACGGTTCCGTTGCTATCATTCAATTTTGAATTAATCATGACTGAACAAATGCTTCTTCTAGAGACTTAGTGCTTCAACACAAACCCAGACTTCCAATATAATATTGGAGCAGTATATATTTTCATGATTGTAACAAGAGGGGCGAGGCTCTACTCACTGCTGGAGCTGATGAATCCGGACGCATAGGGCCCCTATCTAAGTATCTAAACAACCCAATCCTGATCAGCTACATACTGATAGTTCTCAAAAGCGAGAAGGATAAAAGCACAAATTAGTAGATATCTCAAATATACACTTAAGCATACAAAAAAAAGGTAAAAACATAATGCAGTACAAAATAAGTACCTAAATAAGAATGATAGGTTTGTCCTCGTCCATCAGGCCTTCAGGAGCCAACAGTAGGCAGTGATCCTGGACCTACATGTGACACACAGTGTCATACGCCCTTATAGACCATTAATGTGATGAATTGACCTTTGAAATTACAATTCACTAAACGTAAAGAGGATGCTTGGACCCAACAGTTTGAATACTTAACATCTACATGCCACAACGTGGAGGGCTTTTATGCGGGTCATCGCCATGTATATTTTATACACATATAGCCCAACATCGAAGTGCCATTCCAAATTGTATCTATAAACACATATTTTGATATAATTTCTGGCCAAAACTCCTGTCATCGATATGGCTACGCTGTGCGTCCCCTATCCCATGAAACTCCCCTGAATCCACTGAAGAAGGGGCCATCCTGACGAGCAGTTGCCCAGTCCATGCGCATGACCATTGCTGTCATCCTCTTCTGCAGAGATGTTTCCCTTCCACTGCTTCTATCATTGTGGAGGACTGTGATAGCTTCTTGTGTAGGCAGATGTGGAGATGGTGCACAAACTGGTTCGGATTGCGGTGACTAAAATTAGTAGACACAACTTGGAGCTTTTGAACGTGCCGCTCAGTCATACTATCTTATCGTTCTCATTATTGATATGTACGAGGACAACATATTATTTAAGTTCTATGGAAGCCCTAACAGCCTTCCATGGTGTACTAATCACAGCACAACATATTATTTCTCAGCTTTACGGTTCTATAATGTTGCTACCTCTTCTTCTATTTTGGTCTGATTGAGTGCCGCAGCCATCAGATATGCTTTAAGTTGAGAACAAGAACATTGTGGGATGCGGTTTCAACATCTAGGTTAGCATTGGCTCAAAAACAGGACCAATTTGAACAGAGGAGGTTGTAGAAATTGTCCTGATGCCTCACAAGCCTAGCTACGAACATGAATATTGCCATATGGTTGACATAATCGTCAGAGCCACCGGCCTTACATGACATGTTTCTTACTGGATCTTCGGTCACAACATCCTCTATTTATTTATTTATTTATGAATTGAAGCTCAGTTTTTTTTGGATCAACTCGCAGCACGTGGTAGGCACAGAGATACTGCACCTCAATTTAATGTGTACTGACCGTTATAACATCCCTCCTAGACACAGCACACAAATGCTCCAATCACGATTCATATTGTATATAGATCTATAGGTGATCTCAAATGCGTCACTTGTTCCTTCCTGGATCAGCAGCGACCACATCACGTACTCATTTTGCTTTGATTTCCCCAGAAGACAGAAAAACAGAGTGGGCCTGGTGACTATTCGTTAATATGATGCTGGTGTTGCACTGGGATTAAGGTATAGATTACATAGAAATTAAGGATATTTCAGATGCAAACTAGAGAGGGTTCTTTTTATACTATCTTTCATAGTGTACATGTTAGATTAAATTAGTTTTCATAAATTACATTTCGGGGTATTAATTTTGTCGTAATGGCAATAGTGAGTCATTTTTAGAAAACAAAATAGACTCAATACCTTTTAAATATATGGTGATTGG